CCTACGAAGGCCGGAACGGTACACGAGGGGGTGGGTGGCCAGCACCACGCCCGACCGCCTTTGTCTCCCTAGTGGCAATGTTTACACACCGCACCAGGTACTCATTTGAGGCTGAGTCGACCTAGGGGAGGCCCGGGACAGGTTCAGATAATCGTCACTGGTGTTGGCCGTGAGCGGGAATCGAACCCGGGTTGCCAGGTTCATAGCGCAGCTCACTAACCGCTAGACACGGGCACATATATACACACACTCACACACACACACTCCTCAGCGGTGACGTGTGGACTCGCCAGTTGCGAGTAGGCATTTGAAAGTTGAATTGAAAGAGTTGTTTCGCACGGAATTTCTTATCTCCGTGTCGTCACAAGTTGAGCTTTCGTACAATCAGTTTGTCGACGCACGACATCTGTTGGACGGATGGACGGGCCTCAGGAACGCAGCCAATTCGTAGGTTGGGGGGACAGCACGTTAAAGTGTTTTGCCGGCTAGTTGCAAGATAACGTTGCATTTTTTGCAGCGTGTTTTACGCACCGCACCGTTATTTTATTATTGGAGGTTTGTATCGTCACGTTAATAGGCAAAGTTCTAAGCGAGGCGACGCTCAGCAAGCAGCCACTCAGCCTGTGTGACGGCGCTAAGTTAAACAATATGGCGCTGAGTCGCACTCGCCGATTGGTTGCGGCGCGTGACGTCGCCACGACAAAGCAGCCAATCAGAGGGGCGGAATGTTACCGGGGTAAAACGTTTCTCAGCGTATTATTATTAGACAAGATGCATTTTTAAATACATCGATACACAGTATAGTCGATTCCTACTAATGGCCAACACCAGTTGCCATTATCAGGAACCGATCTTGGGCCTCCCCTAGGTCGACTCGGCCTCAAGCGAGTACCTGGTGCGATGATGTATACTCGTGGCTGGGGAGACAAAGGCAGCCAGGGGTGTGGTGCTAATCACCCTCCCGCTACGTGTGTGTGACTCAACAGCTGGAGCAGAGTAAAATATGACGACACCCTTCTTGCTTTTCACTTTGTTGGAGTGGTTCGTGTGGAGCCCCCCCCAACGTCACCCCCCCCCCCCACCCACCGTCATCCCCCCCCCCCCAGAGTCACACCTCCCTCACCGTCAACCCCCCCCAACCACCACCCCCACCATCACCTCCCCCTCACCGTCACCTCGCCCCACCGTTACCCCCCCGCTACCACCCCCAACGTCACTACCACCCCCAACCCCCCACCGTCACCACCACCCCCCACCGTCACCACTACCCCCACCGCCACCCACCCCCAACCCCCCACCATCACCACCCCCACCGTCACCCACCCCCAACCCCCCACCGTCACCCACCCCCCGTGATATAAAATCGGCCCTTGGCCTGGGCAAAGACGGCACAAGATTTTGAGTGCGAGTCCGAGATGGTCGCTCTCGCCGCTCGTGCGTGTTTGGTGTTGGGGCTCTGGGTGAACGGGGCACGGGGTGAGTGGATTCCCACGGCTCACACAAGCACACAGTCGTGTACACCCGCACACGTGTGTGTAGGTGTGCGTGCTACGTAGCGATTGACTTCAACCACGTCTCAAGACGCCTTACCGGACGGTGTATTTATCATCGCACGATTTGCCTTGCCAAGTCGGGCGACAGATGCTTTATGGGCGGCATGGTAGCTAGGAGATTTTAACTGCCTCGCTTGGTATGTAGAAAGTCGCGAGTTCAATTTCAACCCTGACGTCTGCTCTATATCTGGAGTTTGCATGTTCTATCTCGCCGTGGTCGTGTGCAATTTTTCTCCGGCTCCTCCGGCTTTTCTGTCCACATTTAAAAACAAGCGTTTCGAGTATTTGTCTGCTATAAATTTCGACATGATAGGCCGCATGATCAACATCATCACCACCATCACCACCATTTTGGATGTCTGTAGAACTTATTTCGTACCGTACGTAGCCAACCGTAGATAATCAGAGGTGCGGGGGGGAAGGACAACAAACTAAACACAACAACCAGTTTAATAAAAGAGTTTTCAACTTTAGACGATTTAAAAGTGCATAGCTCCCACTCCCAGTGGCTTCATAATATCGCAAGGAAGAGCGTACAAGACGCTCGCAGAAAGCGCATCACAAGGCTCACAATGCGATGACCGTCTTTGTATTATGGTTAACTAAAAGCCGCTGTTGCGAGGATGAGCGGAATTTGCGTGATGATGGTTTATGCTCCTTAACGAGATCAGTAAAGGCATTGATGTTCATTTGTGGTAAGCACTTTGTGTGTAATGAGTGCGACCAGATAAACTAAAAACGAAACTGTTTTTATTTTACAAGGTAAGGCTCACCGAGCTATAGAGTTATTTTTTTCAGAAGCGACCTGGTTACCATAAATTATAGCGCAACGAAGGGGGCTCATCATTTGGACATTTTTAGCAGCAGCCAAATACTCTAAATGCGCGTTGATTCCAAATGTGGAGGGGAAAACCGAAGGACCCGAAAAAAATCCACGCGACCACGTGGAGAGAGAACATGCAAACTCCAATTATACAGCAGGTGTCAGGGTCGGGATAAAACCCACGAGCTCCTGTATACCAGGCGAGATAGTTAACATCTCCTAGCCACGGCGATGCCATGCGATGGCGAGATAGACGCAATTTCTGGAGGTCATTGCGTACAGTGTCGTACATGATACGACACATCGCCACCACTTTCTTTCAGAAATTTTTGCAGTTGACGTCTGACATTTCAAATGTTCGCTCTTAAAAACTTTTCCACCACCTGGATTTTGGTTTTGTAGCCGACCCCTGGATGGTACTGATGCTTATCTCAGTGACCTAGCTTCTCCAGGAAATGTGAGCATATGCAAGTGGAAAATGTTGATTGCATTTTTTTAAGTGTTTTGTCCTTTCAGTAACCTGCCATCCCACGCTGACTGTACAGATGTTCATGGCTATGCATAGCACTTTCTTACAAACCAGGTTACCTGAGTTAAAGTCTAGGCCATGGCTTACATCAGCGGTGACTGCTATCCGGTATCTGCGAGGATGACCGGAGATTGTGTGATGATGTATGCTCCTTGACGAGATCAGCAAGGTATTGCGGTTCATTTGTGGCAAGCAATTTGTGTGCGATGAGAACGACCTCATAATGTGTTCGTTCAGCAAGCGAAGCCAATGCAGCTCGGCGACCACTGGACGAACTTGGTCAAATCTTGCAGTACCCGTCACGACACGTGCCAAAGAATGTTGGACACTCTGCAGCTTGGTAATGTTTTTTTTTTCCAGACGTCCCGTGAGAGTAGTGAGTTGCAATAATCAATCCTTGTAAAAACTATGTTACACGCCATCATGTTGGCTGTGTCTAAAGTGCCCCATCGAACCCTTATATGAAAATTGCAGGACCTTACTATGTTGTTGCACGCGGTGATCAAACGACATTCTGTTCGAGGATGGTGCCGAGGCTCTTTATATGAGTAGAAAACTGAATCCTGGAGTCTGCGACCACCCACACCTGATCATCCCACAATTGTTTTAGCCTGAGCCTGAGTTCAACCAGCAGAACCTCAGATTTTTATGGATTAAGCAGCATTTTCTTTCGCGCTAACTACACGTGCGCCGCTTGCAAGCAATGTTCAAGGTTACAGAGGCTCTCCATATCTTACTTTGACTTCACTGCAGTTTACAATTGTGCATCGTCAGCAAATTAATGAAATTTGATGGCATGTGACAAGATGACATCGACGATCGGAGACACGTATCTTGAAAACAGGAAGAGCCTGAGGACGGACCGCTGTGGTACTTGGCATGGCATGGGTGATTACTGTTCGTCCTCAACTTGGCGAACTGTGATCGACCATGCGGGTATAACTAAATCCATCCCAGTGGTGTACCCAAAACAAAAAACATTGACCTTAGCCACCCGATGAGTATCTCATGGTCGATGGTGTCAAAGGCGGTGGAGACATCGAGTCCAACCAAGCTGTCATCCGTGATCTTGTAGAGGTCATTGGTGATCTTTGGTAATGCCATCTCAGCGTTGTGGAACATCCGGTATGACGAATACAATGGGTTAAATCTGCCTGTTGCAGCGACCTGGGGAAGTAACCACTCCAACCACAGGCGCTCTATGACCTTTTGAAATCGTGCTCTGGTTTGAGTCCGGGCGATAGGTTGTGGGTTCACTATGGCGCAAGCTAATGCTTTGTCAGGAGCTGTGTTACCTGCGCCATTTTTAACCATTCTGGGAAACAGCCCTCGCTGAAGGAAACATTTGCGATGTGAATAATCGGCGGTGCGAGCACATGCGAGCGTAATTTGAGAATCAAGGTGCGGAATGTAGTCAAGCAACGATACCTCTGCAAACAACGTTGGTGACAAGCTTATCGAGTTTTTCATTGGTTCCAGGTTGATCAAACTCAAATTGCAGACCGAGAGAATGCATTGCCTTCAAGTTAGAAACTGCTGTCTCGATTGTCACTTTTTAAAATTGAAGAACGATGCAAGTACAGGGACTGCTCTACTTAGGAACTAGTTAGGTTCCAGAAATCTGTTCGTAAGTCGATTTGTTCGATTTTAAACATGTTGTATGGCATGGACGTTAATCACGGGGAATGCCTATAGAAGTTGAATAGTCTCCTATAGATGTAGATGGCACTGGTTGTTCACGTTTCACAGATGTAGATGCCACCACCGCCATCTATTTTTTGGTGGTTGAACTAACGACTCTCGGTCTGAACAGACAACTGGACACATACGGACAGCTTTATTTATATCTCTGAAAGTTCTTAAGTCGAATTTGTGTAAGTGGATGAGTCCCTGTACTGCGCAAAGACCGCTTTGATTGGTTGATGGGTGGTTGGAGTGCAGCAGGACCCTTCATGACGCAACACAGAGCACGGGGGTCCGAGCCGACTAATTAATGCACAGAGCATAGACTGATCTGTGAGATGACGCAATAATGAGTTGGTTGAGAGATCTGATGGCGGCTCTGGAAGCGAGTCGAACAGTCATATGAATTAAACGTGATAACCCCACCTCCGAAAATCACTGCATCAGAGGCGTTGCAGGACCGGGCACTTACTTAGTCCTGTCTGCATTCTTTTCAGGTGCAACCTCTGAGGGAGACGCGAGTCTTCAGTGCTCCAAATTTGGTTCCACGGTGAGCGTGTGTACCAAGAGGTTCGTCATCGGTGTGGTTGGTGGCTCCGTGCTCTTGCCATGCACCTTCTTGCTTCGTTCTCCCTCGAGCCAAGTCAGCGTGGAGTGGAGACTCAGCGAGGTCAATAAGGGAGCAGTCATATTCAACAGTTCGAATAACAATTACACCGACGACAATTTTAGGGATCGACTCAGACTGCTGGGAGACCCAGGCAAGGGTGATGCAAGCATCCTCATCGTCAACCTGAAACATACGGACATAAACACCTACTTCTGCCGAATCAAAGAGTGGGAAATGAGCGAACAAAGAATCAAAGAATATATTTACTATGGTCATCATGGAACCCGCCTGCTCGTCAAAGGTACGTGTCGTCTCGGTATTGAGATCCGGTTCAGGTAACAAACATTTCAGGACCCCTGCCTCTCCATTGTGGCAATGACTCATGCAGGGCTAGCTTTAGGAAAATTCAGGGAAATCATCAAGAGTGTTGCATTGTCTTTGATAATCTCTGGCTACGAGAATATCAAAGAGTGACTGAGAGGAATTTAGTGACATCTGATTGTAAATTGCCATCATCATTATCTGGTAGGGGGGATAAGTGATTTCGATTTGTATAAATTCATGAAAGTGTTTAAAACAAGTAGGGACGTTTATGACATCGGGAAGTGATGCAAAGCATTCAACGTTTGGTGCTTCACCAGCTGCTTTTTAAAACGTTGGTAAAGATGTTACATACGACTCACCGGCGTGATATATTCCTTATAAAAATAAACACTGGGAAAAGTTTGAGACGATACGGCCGCCATCTTGGCCACGTGGTGGCCTCAAGACAACTTTAACTACATAACCGCCTCACTCACTCCACAAGTCTCTTAACCTTATCCGAACAACACCCCTACATCACAGGTGCATCTAATTCACTCTACCAGCAACTTAATGCACGTAACTGTACACAAGTAGGAATCCATACTCTTTGGTTCTTTCGGTAAAGTCACGTAGTTAAAAATATAATGAAATAAAACAAATCACGACGTTTTGATCGCAACACAAGCAGTCATCATCAGGCAAAGGAGTCAGCCTCTAAAGGCAAACTGTTTATAAAGGTTTGGGGATGGGCGTAGCTCAAGTGTATCAACAGCACCAAGAGCATGGGCGGTGCACGAGTGCCAAGGCAGCAACAATGCCAATGTAGCAGAATGCCAATGCAGCAACAATGCCAATGTAGCATCAATGCCAATGCAGCAACAATGCCAATGTAGCAGCAATGCCAATGCAGCAAAAATGCCAATGTAACAGCAATGCCAATGTAGCAGCAATGCCAATGCAGCAACATTGCCAATGTAGCAGAAATGCCAATGCAGCAACAATGCCAATGCAGTGGGCGAGAGTTCTGCCGTGGCAAGAGGTTATATAAGTCACAACGGGGGGGAGGAGCAAGGGGGGAGAGAGAGAGAGGGGGTGGAGTAGGGGGATGGAGGGGCCCTGCGTGAGCGCTAGGGGGAGAGAGGACTTGAAGGTGGGAAGGGTAGTGGGCAGGGCTGGAAGTGGGAGGCTGGGAACGCTGGGGATGCAGGGGAAATTAACTCGTAAAAATAGACTAGTACCCGGCAGATATAATGGAACAACCATAAACAGTTAAGGTTTAAGCTGGTTAATAACATACTTCCAATGATTGCTCAATTTGTATCCATCTTCTCGGTTGAAGTTATGCCAATGTTTATATATCTGGATGGCTTCATGACCAAACCTTTGATAGTAGCCCGAAGGTTTGCAGAGTACCTTGGTCTTGGAAAAAAGCAATATAATGCGAGCCCACAGCGTTACAACAATGGTCAGCCACGGCAGAGGTATTGATTCTGCCGTGTTTCAGATCTGCCTTGTGTTCGCGAACACTGTCCGAGACATGTCGTTTCGTTTCCCTAATGTAACTGTGACTGCAGGTACATCTCAGTTTGGAGACTCCAGGATATTGCACGTCAGGAATGACATCCTGCACAGATGGGTTTAGATCACGGATTTTGTGTACTGTATTGAATCGGACCTGGATCCTGTGTTTGTTTAAGATTTTGGAATTATTTTTGGTAACACCTGCTATGTATGGTAACATGATGGTTTTGATCGGCATCTCAGGGGGTTGTTTTTCCCTGGTTGGAAAAACAGCTTTGCGAGTACCCATTCATCTTGAGGGCCTGGTGTACGTGTTCCAGTTCAATGGCTAGGTGGTGTTGGTCGGAAATGCAGTGGGCCCTATGGTGTAGTGTTTTAATCTGGGGATTCACTTGGAAAAATAGACTAGTACCCGGCAGATATGATGGAACAACCATAAACAATTAAGTTTTTACCTGGTTAATAACATCTTCTCGGTTGAAGTTATGTCTGTTTATATATCTGGATGGCTTCATGAACAAACCTTTGATAGTAGCCCGAAGGTTTGCAGAGTACCTTGGTCTCGGAAAAAAACAAGGCATTTACAGCATTATAATGGCAATCCTAACATTATTACAGCATTCCCAGTGTAATGTAGCTCTCAGAGACGCCATCTTCTCTTCTGTATGTTTATTAAGAATTAATTCCAATAACAACTCATCACATAACACGAGTGAGTCCGTACACTCAGGTGTTGAGACACAACCCTACTCGGAGACAATCTAGCTTCCAAGCTCCAGACAACTTGCAGGCGATGGAGACAGCCCGATCCCAGGTGACATATCTGTCGTGGGGCAGAACACATCCCTCCACCGCATGGCCTTGTGGGAGCCTCAGTACATCTTCCGTTACGGAATCAGAAGAAAAACTGATGACATAACGTACGTCGCCACAATGGGAAAGGGTTAATGTGCTTGCCAGATATAGTGGGTTCACTTGAAAGACACACTTGACCTAGGGGGCAACACGTTTATTCTACGACCAGAATGGGGTAACTACATTAATGTAACAACGGGATAACTATATAGCGGTAACCACCACGGGGTAACTACATAACCGGATTAGGTCAGTTAACACACTGCCTGACCCACGATGCCGAGCGTGAAGAGCGAAGAGACGTAGCACAGCGGGTTCCATTCCAGTAGAGAGCCAGAAATCGTACCTCGGGACCTCCCTTTTAAGCCACTCAGCGTGGCTTGGCTACGCCACGGCCACGCCCCCTTCTAGAACTCACTAGAAGACTCTGGGCCTTCCATCACATGTCCCTTCTGTAACATTTGGCCCACATCCTTACCCTGTCCTGTCACGTGCCCTTGCCTGCCAATCGGGCTGCTACGTCCTCACATGCTCTCTCTGCCCGCCGCTAGAACCATGCTCCTTAGGGACCAATTACCATGGCAAAGCAAACCCTGCTGGCAGAGAGGGCTAATTACAATCCAGTTCTCTTCTCTATCAGTAACTGGCGCTGGGCGCCAAAGTGACCCAATATACGTCACTACACCTTCATAGCCATGTAGTTTATCAGGGACCATGTACATTGTGCACTCAGTGCAACCCCAATCTACCACCTATGAGCACTCTATCACAGACTCATGCTGCCAAATCGTTCGCATTCCTTTTCTGGTGCAGCCTCTGAGGGAGACGAGAGTCTTCAGTGCTCCAACTTCAGCGACATGGCGAGTGTGTGCACCGAGATGATCGTCAAGGGCGTGGTGGGCGGCTCTGCCCTTTTGCCCTGCACCTTCTCGCTTCATTCTCTCTCACACCAAGTCCACGTGGAGTGGAGACTCCAGGAGGTCAACAAGGGACTGCTCATATTCAACAGTTCAAATAACTTCACCGAACGGAATTTCCACGATCGACTCAAACTGGTGGGAGACCCAACCAAGGGGGAGGCGAGCATCAGCATCACCAACCTGAACTGTAGTGACACAAATGTCTACCTCTGTCACATCAAAGAGTTGAAAAAGAACCAACAGAGAAACAGCAAGAACAATTACTCTGACGAACGTGGAACCCTCCTGTTCGTCCACGGTACGTTCAAGCTTGCGTGTACACAATTCTACTTGCGGCTCAGGAAGTCTCCCTTGCCCAGTCCCGTCTCCTGCTTCTGGCTAGAAGCCCTCCTTCCTCCAGTATTGTTCGGGTTGTTGAGGTGCTGAGAGAATGCCCTCTGCCTGAATCGCTCTGAGCACTGCCTTTTGTGTTAATACAGGGGGTCCCATACCCCATCAACCCCACCTAGACCGGTCCCAAAACTGGTCATACCGCCCATCTCGCTTAACCAGTTGCAACCTTAATATCCTAGCCCATGCTGTATTGTTCACCCTCCCTATCAAAACAAGCCACATAGAACCTTCGTCACACTCTGAGTAATATTTCCCAGTTTGAGTGCCATTCCAATCAAAGTTAAAAATGCTGAAATAAGCCATCCAGCAAATATTCACATTTGGCTGATTGAGTTTCAGCAAGTTCCAACAGATAAGCAGACTGAGAGGTCCAACAAGCCTAACATAGCCAATCCTTCCTTGTCTAGCACGTCCAGTAACCCATAAACAACAGAAAGGGTAGCTATGTCATTGGTATGTAAGGGTCGAAATCCAGACTGGCTGATGTCAAGAAGAAACGCTAGGGACAGGTCTGGCAGGCTCTGATGGTGGAGATGCTGGGGGCAGGCCTGGCAGGCTCCGATGGTGGAGATGCTGGCGACCGGCCTGGCAGGCTCCTTCACTTTAGAACATTTCCATATGGTATGTTGAACCAGTTGTGTGAATACTGGAGTACCCTGAAGAAAACCCAAACATACGAGGGGGTAAAACTCAAGGTGCACATTCATGGTGTCTCGGACACTCAAACATTCAGTGAGGTGGGACTCAACCCTCGACTTAAACTTCACATTCTCCGATGGTGAAGGCTGCTTCCCTTAAACATTGACCGCCGTACATTAACCTGACACACGAACAGGATGTGAACTTGTAACTCACCAGTGTGACCACCTGATCTTCGTGGTGCAATGTGTTTCTGTGTTTTTGACAGATTCCAGCCATACCACAATCCTCGCCAATGTCCCTACTGGTTGGAAAGGGTGCAAGAGAAGTGTAATCGCAATACTCTGCTGCTCCATCTCCCTATTGGCGGTATCTCTGTCTAACATCTGCTGCATCGTGTTGAGAACACAGCACAACACGGTATGTATGTGTGTACGTTGAAGTTGGTATTTTTGCACCGTACCTAGCCAACCGTTATAATTGGAGATACGGGGAAGGACAACAAACTGCAAACAACAATAAGCAGTTCTAAAGAAATTGGTTTTCTATGTAGTATAGTGGTGTAGTGTATGGTAGTGTAGTTGTATATTGGTGTAGTGTATGCTTGTGTAGTGACATCGCGGATGTCACTGTATGCTGCCGGCCCTAGAGAAGCAAGTCATGCGATGTGCTCACATCGCGGACATCACGTATGTAGAAGCATCGTGCATGTCCCTGAGTAATGCCGGCTCTAGCAAGGCACGGCGTGCGATGCACCGTCATCGCGGACACCCCGTAGGTGAGTTCAGTCCCAGCCCTGGTGAGGGCTTGGTGAGCGCTGGGATAGCGCGGGCACCAGGCATAGCGTGCAGTGTGGGCTCCCACAGGAGGGAGCGGGAGAGGGTCAGCGCAGGGACAGGGTTACCCTGGGCTACGTGATCGGTAAAGTCTACAGGGGGGCCACCACATGAGGGCTGAGGGGTGGTCTCGAATCCGGGGGAAAGGGAAAGTGGGCTCGAGAAGAGTCGAGAGAGTGCCAGAGCTCTCTCGAAGGTGGGCGGGGCCAAGGGCGGAGCGGCCCCGACCCGGGAGCATATAAGCCGGGTCCCTGCAGGGACCGCGGTCGTCGTTTCTACTGTCATCTGAAGATCTACGTTCTGCGGCAAGAAGAAGCCTCCAACACGTGGTCCAGGACCCGAGAGGGGCCCGGTCAGTTGTAGCTAACTCCCAGTGTGTTAGTGTAGTTAGCCGGGTGGTCCAACACCCTAGGCCGTATCTGTTAAAGTTGGCAGCTACCCCTTTGTGTATTCGTGTTGGTGTAATACATATGTTGCCTCTAAGAAGTACGTCTGTGACTCAGTTGGGCCCACTACACTTGTGTAGAGGAGAGAAATACGCGGTGCGCGCATTTCAGCGGGTGCGAATGAGGACAAACAGGTGTGCACGTTGCAACATGAGGTTTGCACCGAATAACCACCAGTAATGAAGGGAAGAAGCGAGTGCAACCGAGGTCGAACAGGTGGGTACGCTGTGGCCGGAGGTTGGTGTCGAAGAGACGGGAGATGGGGGGTTATGATAAGGCATTAATGGGACAACAGGTGCCGGGCTGGTGGCAGCTTGAAGGGGAGCACGTGAGGACCCAGAATGAGGAGGGATATATAAGGGGGGTCTGTGTAAGCGAAGGGAGTTGTTGTTGCCCGGGGACCAAGATTGAAAACATCTCCCCCGCTGCCGCTCCAGCCGTCAATGGGACCTCAACCCTCACGTTGTCTCCGGATGGGTATTGGATAAAGCCCCCGCCCGGGACAGATGGGTGAGCGGCTTCGAGGGAGCGTAGGTGAGGGCAGCGGTGGAGATGCAGAGTTGCTGTGTGCGAAGTCGCTGAGTGCGGAGCTGCTGTGTGCAGAGTCGCTGAGAGCAGAGTTGCTGAGTGCAGGATAAGTGAGGTGCTGAGTAGATAAGAGCGTGGAGAAGTCAAGTGTATGTGACCGTACAGATAGTTGTAGGAGTGCCTACAACTGGTGCGAGAACATATGAAATAAAGTGTAAGCAGGTGACTTGGTACAACATGTCGGTGTGAAAATTTTTAAAGACTCTACACTTGTGTAATGTAGTAGATACATAGTAGTGTATAGGGTAGTAGTGTATCGTCCAGTGTACAGTCTACTGTATATTAGTGTAATGTGTAGTATATAGTAGTGTGTATGCGTGTGTGTTGAACTTCTTTCCCACCATACGTAGCCAATCGTGGACTTCAGAGATGCGGTGGGCAGGGGGAAGGAAAAAAAAAACACAAACGCCTTGGCTGACACAAGGAGTTATAAAAATTCTGCGTCCGGATCTGGAGTAGTGCAACAAGAGATATATTATTGCTGTTGCATGTTACGAATTGTCACATTAAGGAGAAGTATTTTCTAACATAGGCATTGGAGTGGTACGTGCGTCAAAATACCTAAACGTGACATGCTGTAAATGTCAAAGGTCAGTTGTTTACTGTATGAATAATGCAGAATCTTGAAGATATTATTGACAATGTACGTTTACAAACAATGTCTTTAGGTTACAACTGTAATGAATCCAACACGTTGGTTGTAGAAAAGGTGCAAGAAGATTGATCACCTTCTGCAGCGTGCGTTCATGTCAACTTCCACCATCAAAAGTGCCCCGAGACTTCCCCGATCCTCTCCTCCTCTCTTTCTATTTCCCGCTCTTTCTCTCTCATCTATCTCCATCCAATCACTTCTCTCCTCCCGTCCCTCGTCACAAGCTCTTCTCATCGCCCATTTGCTGCGCGAACCTTCTGACCTCTCACCTGCCGCGTCAGGAGGTACGTCTGACGTCATTCGTCTCCCTCCACCAACGGCGAGTGAGCTTATTCATAGGTACGCCCTTTCAGCCTAGAGGTAGCCATTGTTGCTCGTCGGCTTCGCTGTGCACATAATGCTCACGCATGTGTCTGACTGCCCCTCCGTGTGTGCAAGTAATTACTCTTTACAATGATCCATTGTTCTTCGGGGAGAATCGTGCTAAAGCAGCCATTAAGTTGAACTATTATCCGGAGCATGAATGAGAACTCTGATGTCCAATTTCAGGTTGCGATGGAGCCTGAAGTCGTCAAGGAATCCGGCGCTACGCTATCGTCGAGGCGAGGAGACACAGCATCCTTTGAAGAATCGACATTCATAGAGACCAGGACAATATGCACTCCTAAGTAGACTTCTGTTTCTGAGTTTAAAAGCAGGAAGAAGCTGTGAAGGATGTGTATGGCGAGATGTTAACTACCTCGTCTGCTATACAGGAGGTCATGGATTCTATACTGACTGTGACGACGCCTGCTGCATATTTGGAGTTTGCGTCTCTCTCTCCCTGTGGTCACGTGGATTTCATCCTGGTCCTCCGGGTTTTCCCCTCCACATTTAGAATCAACATCACGCGTTCAGAGTATTTTCCTGCAGCTATAAATGTCCACATGATGATGATGATGACAATAAGCCCACTTCGTTGAGCGATCGTTTGTCATAGCCAGTCGCAGTGAGGGGGAGAGATGGAATCTTTGGTGGCCTGACGTGAAAAACAACAACAAGCAATGATTGCGTTTGAAGAAACTTATTTATGTTTAGTATCACTTGAATTGGAACATAGTCCATCCATGGCTCAATGTTGTTAACCACTGCCTACATGCAGTGGTTCTCATCCTTGTGCTGGCGACTACTGTGTTATACCCTCCTTGCTGAAATTTGTTTCCACCGAATAACCCCCCCCCGCCTTGCCCGAAACAACATTGTGCTTAGAAATACATGTAATATGGATATTGAACGTCTATATTTTAACCACTTGGCCTTTTTGTTCGTAAGTAACTGCTTTGCATACAATGTAATTTGTTCACGCTCGCTGGATATGCTTGGAAACCACCACATTGTTTATAATCAATGAGGATTAGAAAGGTATTTTATATCGTTCTAGGTTACCATATAGATTCATAACACATGATTATTCACCAATGACTCTCATGCATGATATAATTTCACGCACGTTCATAAATCACCTCCGTATGTAACACCCTGGGATATTGCCACGTATACCCAAGGGTCCGTGTGCCTCCGGTTCAGAACCACAATGGTGTAGTGTATAGTTTAGTGTATAGTAGCGCAGTGTGTAGTAGTGCAGTGTCTAGTAGCGTTGTATAGTGTATAGTATTGCATAGTGTAGTGTATTGTGCAGTGTATAGCAGTGTAGTGTGTATATAATAAATTTGACGTATGATATGATTTCACGCGATCATATATCACCTCCGTGCATAACGCCCCCTGGGACATTGCCACGTACCCCAAGGGGTCCGCGTATCCCGGGTTCAGTTCCATTGGCCTAGAATAACTTCGCAGTTATTATAGGCCAATGGTAATGATAGAAGTAGTGATAATGATAGGGGTAGTGATTGTGATGAGGTAGTGATGGTGATGGGGTAGTGATGGTAATAATAATGGTAGGGGTAGTTTTAATGATAGGGGTAGTTTAATGATAGGGGCAGTGATAGTGATAATGATAGGGGTAGTGATAGTGGTAGTTATAATGATAGGGGTAGTGAAAGTGATAGTGATAATGATATGGGTAGTTATAATGATAGCGGCAGTGATAGTGATAATGATAGGGGTAGTGATAGTGGTAGTTATAATGATAGGGGTAGTGAAAGTGATAGTGATAATGATAGGGGTAGTTATAATGATAGGGGCAGTGATAGTGATAATGATAGGGGTAGTGATAGTGGTAGTTATAATGATAGTGGTAGTTAGAATGATAGGGGTAGTGATGGTGGTAGTGATAATGCTAGGGGTAGTGATAATGTTAGTCGTAGTGATAGTTTTAGTGATAATGATAGGGGTAGTTAGAATGATACGAGTAGTTATAGTGGTAGTGATAATGATAGGGGTAGTGATAATGATAGGGGTAGTGATAGTTTTAGTGATAATGATAGGGGTAGTTAGAATGATAGGGGTAGTGATAGTAGTAGTGATAAGGATAGGGGTAGTGATAGTGATAATGATGGGGGTAGTGATAGTGATATTGATAGGGGTAGTGATAGTTATAATGATAGGGGTAGTGATAGGGTAGTGATAATGATAGGGGTAGTGATAATGATAATGATAGGGGTAGTGATAATGATAGGGGTAGTGATAGTTATAATGATAGGGGTAGTGATAGGGGTAGTGATAATGATAGTGCTAGTGATAGTTATAATGATGGGGGTAGTGATAGTGATATTGATAGGGGTAGTGATAGTTATAATGATAGGGGTAGTGATAGGGGTAGTGATAATGATAGGGGTAGTGATAGTGATAATGATAGGGGTAGTGATAATGATAGGGGTAGTGATAGTTATAATGATAGGGGTAGTGATAGGGGTAGTGATAATGATAGGGGTAGTGATAGTGATAGGGGTGTTCGTAGCTGTGGCAGGATGGGCTAGATCAGGGGGTCGGAAACCAAAATAACAAGAGGCGCCGTTAATTATTTCAAATTCGGTTTAAAAAAATCTGAATGTCAAGAGTCGTGGTGCACTGTCTGGCGAATACGAGATGGGGGTGGTCCTTGACAAATGACGTCACGAAGCAGCTGTCCCTTAAAGAGCCGCGCCACACGCGGTTTGGGAGCCGCAGGTTGCCGAACCTCTGGGCTAGGGAAGGAGAAGAAGTTGGGGTCTAATGGAGGTACGGGAACTGCAGGCTGTTGCTGTTGTTATAGTGACGATGGTCGCTCTGTGTGCTGCAGTTGGGAGTTGGTCGAGTGTGAGGCTTCTCTGCCTTTTTTAAGCCTTTAACTCTCTTCTTTACTCCTGGATCTTTCCTCTCTATACATTTTTCTAATTCTATCCCTGTTGTTAACACGATATTAATGAATGATTTTTGGACAATCGTACGTGCGTTTCTTGGCGATTCGTCGAAAATAAAATGCTTTTAAGAGAATGTCCCATTCTTGTCACGACACTTTTATGGAAAATACTTGTCGATCTCAGCCCAACCACATGAGCAATGCTGTGTGGTTGAGTATGAATAATAATTATCAATGTTACTGGATGCACGTGGCCGATCACACGAATAATGATGAACAGTACAGCAGACTAAGGAACTAATGAATAGTAACGTAATGTCGATTTCATTGTTGCAAATATTTACATAGAATAACATTTACCAATTAGATTATAGTATTATTAATTTACGAGCAGGAACCCACGATTTACGAAGGGGGTCTGTTTCGAAGACATACACACATATACACACACACCCTTTCACACGCTCATACAAAGATCCCCATATTACCTTAACAGACTGTTGGGCCAAGTACTGTTAGCAAGCAGCACATCTGAAAGGCCGAACGGCAGACGAGGGGGTGGGTGGCCAACACCACGCCCGGCCACCTTTGTCTCCCCAGTAGCGATGTTTACACACCGCAGCAGGTAGGGATTTGAGGTTAAGTAGACCCAGGTGGTCGGGGATAATCGTCAAAGATGTTAAGGTACATACAATCACTTTAACACACACACACAGATCCCCTATATAGCCTTAGCAGACTGTTTGGGCAAGTGCTACTAGCGAGTAGCATCGAATGAAGGCTGGCACGGCACACAAGAGGGTGGGTGCCCATGTTTACGCACCGCACCAAGTACTTAGAGGTTGAGTTGACCTAGGAGGAGGCCCTGGATCGGTTCAGATAATCGTCACTGGTGTTGGCCGTGAGCAGGAATCTAACCCGGGTCGCCGGGTTCATAGCGCAGCTCACTAACCGCTAGACACATGCGCATATATACAAAGATCTCCCATATAGCCTTAACAGACTGTAGGGGCAAGTGCTGTTAGCGAGCACCTACGAAGGCCGGAACGGTACACGAGGGGGTGGGTGGCCAGCCCCACGCCCGACCGCCTTTGTCTCCCTAGTGGCAATGTTTACACACCGCACCAGGTACTCATTTGAGGCTGAGTCGACCTAGGGGAGGCCCGGGACCGGTTCAGATAATCGTCACTGGTGTTGGCCGTGAGCGGGAATCGAACCCGGGTCGCCAGGTTCATAGCGCAGCGTAGCGCTAACCGCTACACTACATATACACACACTCCCACACTGACACACACTCCCCAGCGGTGACGTGTGGACTCGCCAGTTGCGAGTAGGCATTTGAAAGTTGAATTGAAAGAGTTGTTTCGCACGGAATTTCTTATCTCCGTGTCGTCGCAAGTGGAGCTTTCGTACAATCAGTTTGTCGACGCACGACATCTGTTGGACGGATGGACGGGCCTCAGGAACGCAGCCAATTCGTAGGCTGGGGGGACAGCACGTTAAAGCGTTTTGACGGCTAGTTGCAAGATAACGTTGCATTTTTTGCAGCGTGTTTTACGCACCGCACCATTATTTTATTATTAGAGGTTTGTATCGTCACGTTAATAGGCAAAGTTCTCGGCGAGGCGACGCTCAGCAAGCAGCCACTCAGCCTGTGTGACGGTGCTAAGTTAAACAATATGGCGCTGAGTCGCGCTCGCCGATTGGTTGCGGCGCGTGACGTCGCCACGACAAGGCAGCCAATCAGAGGGGCGGAATGTTACCGGGGTAAAACGTTTCTCAGCGTATTATTATTAGACAAGATGCATTTTTAAATACATCGATACACAGGATAGTCGATTCCTACTAATGGCCAACACCAGTTGCCATTATCAGGAACCGATGTTGGGCCTCCCCTAGGTCGACTCGGCCTCAAGAGAGTGCCTGCTGTGATGATGTATACTCGTGGCTGGGGAGACAAAGGCAGCCAGGGGTGTGGTGCTAATCACCCACCCCCTACGTGTGTGTAACTCAACAGCTGGAGCAGAGTAAAATATGACGACACCCTTCTTGCTTTTCACTTTGTTGGAGTGGTTCGTGTGGAGCCTCCCCCACCGTCACCCCCCCCACCCACCATCACCCCCCCCCCCCAGAGTCACCCCTCCTTCACCGTCAACCCCCCCAACCACCACCCCCACCATCACCTCCCCCTCACCGTCACCTCCCCCCATCATTACCCCCCACAACCAACCTCACCGTCACTACCCCCACCGTCACCCACTCCCAATCCCCCAGCGTCACCACCACCCCCACTGTCACCACCCCCACCGTCACCCACCCCCAACCCCCCACCGTCACCACCACCCCCACCGTCACCACCACCCCCCACCGTCACCACCACCCCCCACCGTCACCCACCCCCCGTGCTATAAAATCGGCCCTTGGCCTGGGCAAAGACGGCACAAGATTTTGAGTGCGAGTCCGAGATGGTCGCTCTCGCCGCTCGTGCGTGTTTGGTGCTGGGGCTCTGGGTGAACGGGGCACGGGGTGAGTGGATTCCCACGGCTCACACAAGTACACAGTCGTGTACACTCGCACACGTGTGTGTAGGTGTGCGTGCTACGTAGGGATTGACTTCAACCACGTCTCAAGACGCCTTACCGGACGGTGTATTTATCATCGCGCGAATTGCCTTGCCAAGTCGGGCGACAGATGCTTTATGGGCGCCGTGGTAGCTAGGAGATTTGAACTGCCTCGCTTGGTATGTAGAAGGTCGCGAGTTCAATTTCAACCCTGACGTCTGCTCTATATCTGGAGTTTGCATGTTCTATCTCGCCGTGTTCGTGTGCAATTTTTCTCCGGCTCCTCCGGCTTTTCTGTCCACATTTAAAAACATGCGTTTGGAATATTTGACTGCTATAAATTTCGACATGATAGGTCGCATGATCAACATCATCACCACCATCACCACCATTTTGAATGTATGTAGAACTTATTTAGTACCGTACGTAGCCAACCGTAGATAATCAGAGGTGCGGGTGGAAGGACAACAAAATAAACACAGCAAACAGTTTAATAAAAGAGTTTTCAACTTTAGACGATTTAAAAGTGCATAGCTCCCACTCCCAGTGGCTTCCTAATATCGCAAGGAAGAGCGTACAAGACGCTCGCAGAAAGCGCATCACAAAGCACACAATGCGATGACCATCTTTGTATTATGGTTAACTAAAAGCCGCTGCTGCGAGGATAAGCGGAGTTTGCGTGATGATGGTTTATGCTCCTTAGCGAGATCAGTAAAGGCATTGATGTTCATTTGTGGTAAGCACTTTGTGTGTAATGAGTGCGACCAGATAAACTAAAAACGAAACTGTTTTATTTTACAAGGTAAGGCTCACCGAGCTATAGAGTAATTTTTTTTAGAGCGCACCTGGTTACCGTAAATTATAGCGCAACGAAGTGGGCTCATCATTTGGACATTTATAGCAGCAGCAAAATACTCTAAATGCGCGTTGATTCCAAATGTGGAGGGGAAAACCGAAGGACCCGAAAAAAATCCACGCGACCATGGGGAGAGAGAACATGCAAACTCCAATTATACAGCAGGTGTCAGGGTCGGGATAAAACCCACGACCTCCTGTATACCAGGCGAGATATTTAACATCTCCTAGCCGCGGTGATGCCATGCGATGGCGAGATAGGCAAAATTTCTGGAGGTCATTGCGTCCAGCGTCGTACATGATACGACACATCGCCACCACTTTCTTTCAGAATTTTTTGCAGTTGACGTCTGACCTTCAAATGTTCGCTCTTAAAAACTTTTCCACCACCTGGATTATGGTTTTGTAGCCGACCCCTGGATGGCACTGATGCTTATCTCAGTGACCTAGCTTCTCCAGGAAATGTGAGCATATGCAAGT